ACAGCCCCCAGCACCCCGTGAGCCCCAACTCACTGCAGAGCCATGGGGAGCCCTGAGCACCACACGCTAGTCACACTTGTGTTCTCTGCCCTCCCCACACACACACTTGGCCGACACAGGGCCCAGATCAAGTGTGAGATCCCACAGACAGAACCGGAGGAAGTGGCGAGACAGGCCTTTCCCTCGTGATGCAGGCATCTGGGCGGGGGCGTGCAGGAGCTGGCACGGCTGAGTCCAAAGCCAGGTGGGCCCGGGGGGCTTGGGAGCCCGTCAACACCGCCCTGTCCAGCTGTCTGTCCTCCTGGGCCCCACATGCCCAGAGGCGCCGTCAGCAAAGGCCTGGGGTGGGAGTCAGAGACAGAACTGGAGTCCCCTGGGCGGTGGCTGTAGTGGCTCTGCTTCCTTCTGCCACCAGACTGCACAGCACAGCTTCGGGTAGGGGTGGGGACGTGCACGGAGCAACTTCCTAATAGTTCCACAGCCAAGATGGGCTGCCTTGGGGGAGCAGTGAGCTTCCTGTCCTCAGAGGTGTTCAAGACACCAAACAGAACTGCATCAGAATTGGACCCTCACAAAGGGCTAAATGAGAGGACCTCCAATGTGCCTCTCAACCCTGCAGTTCTCCGATACGTCCGGACGGGCATCGGGACGCAGCACAGTCATCAAGAGCACATGTTTCCGATCAGGCCTGGTTCAGATCCCAGTGACACCCTTGTCACCTATGACCTGGGCCGAGTCATGGCCTCTCTGAGCCTCATTCTCCCCGTCTGTCCCACAGGGACGTTTGCGCCTGCTTCGCGGGTTTCTCCTGAGGATCCGATGCAAAACACTTGGCGTAGTGCCTGGCACGTGGTAGACGCTCAGCAAGGAGTAGTCAGTAACGGTGGTATTGTTAGGAATCGGGGACAGGCCCTGGGTGCAAGGCCCGGCCACGGACACCACACGCTGTTGGAGCCAGCCCCTGCCTGCCTGCCCCCACGGTCCTGGTTCTCAGAGCTGGGGGTGGGGGAGCAGCCAGCTGGGTGGGACTGTGCCCAGCGCTGGGTGGCAGCCGGCCGCTCCACTTTCAAGGGGGGAACGGAAGGGGAGTTTGTCACCAGCATCCAGGGCGGCAGCTGCTGGGCCCTCCCTGGTGAGAGAACTATTCAGGGGGAGGCGGGTAGGAATGTGGGCACGGCGCCAGGCCCCGCAACCTCCCTCCGGTGCTGGAGAAAAGTGCTGAGCTCCCAGCCCATGCGCTTTGCTGCTGGTCCTGCCAAATTGGCCTTGCCAGGGAGGCCCCAAGCGGGTCTCCCAGCCCAGCCTCCCCCGTTCCTGCAAGCTTGAGAATGTGGGCCCCTCCTTGGGACCAGGAAGAAGCGGGAGTAACATTGGGATCCTGCAGTCCACCGGCTGTGTGACCCTGGGCTGGTCACTGCCCACTCTGGGCCCCCATTTCCCTATACACTATGGAGCAGGTAGACCAGGCTATCTGGCTGGGTCTTGTGGGCTGAGCTGTCTGTCCTCAATCCTCTGAGCCTCCCACAACCTCAGTTCCAGCTCAGGGAGAGGGCTGGTGGTGGGAGGGCCTCCCCAGCCAGGCACATGCCTGGTTCCAGCCTTCTTAGAACTTCTCACCTGTGTTGCCAGACAGTCCCCTACTTCTGGCACGGTGACAGCCTCCCCTTATCACTTCCCCCCTGCAGAGGAGGGAAGGCTTTGAATCAGGCCCAGCAGAGGAGAAGTGGGACTTCAGAGGAGGGGGTGCTGGAGGGACCCCTGGGTCATCTTGCCCACCCCGGCCTCCAGGCCAGGCCACGACAAGCCTTTCCTCTGAGCCCTGTCCTGTCGGGACTGGAGCCGGCGTTTATTGGATCATTAGTCCTAGTATCAGCACCATGTTATATTGTATCTGTAAAGTACTGAGCACAGCATCTGTGCTTCTCCATTTAATAGCTGCTATTATTATTATTATGAAATTAACAGATTTTATGCACCTGCTATATGTTAGGCATTTTATATCCACAATCTCATTTATGCTTTAATAATCTTAAGGGTAGATATTAATGATAATATCAACTGATTATTGTTATGATAGTTAGTGTGTATTAAGTGCTTACTGTGGGCCAGGGTCTGTGCTAAGGGTCTGCTTGTATCAACTCTTTTAGTCCTCGCCTCAGTCTTGAGATGAGTTCTTCCATCTCCACGATGGAGATGGGGAAATTGAGGTTCACAGTGTAGGTGACTTGCCCAGGTTCACGCAGCCAGCAGGTGGCAGGGCTGGGCTTTGGACCCAGGTCAGTCTCAGCGGAGTTGATGCCAGCACAGACGTTCAAGGCCATCTTCAGTCAGGTCAACCCTGGAAACTGGCTGCTCCCCTGCCTGAGACCATGTCAGAGCCCAGGGCACACGGCAGGTGTCCAGGTGTCCACTCCCCGGGAGTCTCATGAGAACAGCCCCCGCAGGGTCGCCTCTGGGAGCCCCACCTCCTGCCCCAGCACCTGGCCTCTCCCAGCCCTCTGTCGCCTGCCTTAGGTGATTCATTCGTTGGCACTGTGGCCAGCCCCTGCATTGCCCCCCGGGGGCCAGAGCCTGCCAGGGATGGAGCCCAGCGACCGTAATTGATTGGGCCTTGATTGATACAGGCAGTGGTTCAAACCGCGGTCGAGCTGTGGCCCAGCCAGGCCGGGGAGCTGCCAGGACGGCGGGATCCAGAGCCCAAGTTTCTGTCCAAGTTTGGATACTTTATCTGCACTTCCTCTGAAACCGAGCTGCCCCCGGCTTCGGGAGAAACCTGTCCACTGGAGCAGCAAATAACACGGTGGTTCAGAGGGGCAGGCGGGACGGCAGAGGGGACAGGGCATGGGGACCACGGGGCTGGGGTCCGAGCCCTCCTTCCGCAATCCGGACTGGCCAGGGTCGCTGAGCACACGGGTTGTAAGGAGAAAGTGCCTGGCACATAGTGGGAGTTTAGTAAAGGTAATTAAATCTCGTTTTAGTGGTGGCAGCTGCCATTTATGGGGCTCGCTTTGTGTGCCCGGCACTTTGCTAAGCGGCCACCCGGCCCCTCTACCACCATAGGCCCCGGAGACGGGAGCTTCCCTCTGCCTGCCCCTCAAGTCCCACGCCCTCCAACCCCCACCGCGGCCACTGCCCACAGGGACAGCTGCCCTAAGCCCAGCCCTCGCCCGTGATGGCAAAGAAGCCCTCAGGACCCTGCGTTCCCTCCGGGGCGCTCAAGACCCGCCCTTCCTGTGCCTCGTGGCTTCCAACCACTGACTCACTTGCTCACGAACTATTTATACCCCTCGCACAAATGCTCCCCTCAGCGCTCCAGGCAGACGTCTGTGTTCTGCCGCAGCCCAGGACATGGGCGGGAGGGGCTGGGCACTGAGCACGTGTGTGTGTTTATGAGCCCGACAGACCTGGGGGGTGGAAGCCCAGCTCCTTCCTTATGGCTGTGTGACCTCGGGCAGGTCGCTTAACCTCTCTGAGCCCCCGTTGTGAAATGAGGTTCCTATGAGGATTCAGTAAAATAAAATTGCTGGCACAAGGACAGATTTCAGTAAGCGGTTGCTATTGGGTGTTCAAAGTACACGTAGCTAGAGGAGGGCAAAGGGCGCTGGAAGAAGGCACAGGAGTGAAATGTGTGTTTGTTTTTTAGTGTCTCGAATCCCCAGGACATAGGTTTCTGGAATTCAACCCCTCTGTGCCATGCTGCTGTCACCAGCACTGTCATTCAGCCAGCTTGAGGCCTTGGGGACTGCACAAGGCTTCTTTAGGTGCAGAAAAACCCGTTTTACCAACCCTGAGACCACTCGCCCCAGCTGCGCCAGGACGGGACGCAGGCAGGGCGGGCTGCGGTCAGCCTGATGGCTGGCGGTGCAGACGGCGCCCGCCCAGCAAGCCGTGTGCTCCGGGCACCAGTGGCAGCTCCCCACTCAGGGGACGGGCCTGGAGGCCAGTCAAGAGGGACATTTAGACCCTGCCCCCCACCCTGTCCCTGACTCTGCTGGGCCATTGGTGGCTGAAGAAAGAACTAAGAACTTCCGTGTGCCGGGCCGGGCCGGGCTGAGGCTTGTTATCACCTGCCCAGCCGGGTCTCACCTGCTCCCTGCAGGCACCCTGGCCTCCCCGCGTGCCCCCTGCCCCTGCTTTCCCTCCTTCCTGGTCGTGCACTCAACAAAGGCAGCGACCCTGTCTTAGGCGGCCCTCCGTTCATTCGTGCATTATTTATCCACTGAACATTTTTTGAGTGCCTACTATGTGCTTTTTACCCTCCCCCCCAGTAGCTGGCTTAAGCTGGGGGCATGAAGTAGACACCGAGGCTGGCGGGTGCCGAGTGAGGAGAGGCATTGTCTGCACGGAAGGAGGCTGGTCCCATGTCCACGTCGCACCCGCTGTCCCCGAGCCTCGCCACTGGGCACGCTTTTGCCCCAGGAGACACTTGGCCATGTCTGGGAGACGTCTTTGGCAGTCCCTGTCGGGAGGGACGCTTCTCCACACATCCGACAATGCACTGACAGTCCCCTGCCACCCCCCAACACACAGCAAGGAACTATCCTGTCCGAAAGGGAAAAAGCCGAAGCCGAAAAAACCCGCCCCCGCCCAAAAAGCCCCGCCAACCGGGTGGGGCCGAGATGTCCCCCAAGTGCCCATTTAGACACTGGCGGACCAGCCTGTCCTGGAGCCGGTCCACACCCCCATGGTGTTGTGAGTCCCTTCCCGCTGCTCATCCTCCTCACAGGCCGTACAGGGAAGCTGTGGTTTCAGCATCCTTGTGCCACAGCCTTGCCCAAAAGTTGCCACTGTTCAACACGCAGGGGGCTGCCAGGCCACGTGGTGAGTTCCCCATCATCAGAGGGAACCAAGCAGGAGTGGAGCCACGTACCAGACCTCTACCTGGGCTGAGCTCCCTTCCAGCTGTGACAGGGTGACATGGCTGCTGGGAGATGCTCTCTGTCCGCTCAGGTGATGAGGTGTGCCAGGATGTCCTTAGGCCTCCCTCCCTGCACCCACAGGTATGACGCCGGGCGGGACGGCTTCATCGACCTGATGGAGCTAAAGCTCATGATGGAGAAGCTCGGGGCCCCCCAGACCCACCTGGGCCTGAAAAACATGATCAAGGAGGTGGACGAGGACTTCGACAGCAAGCTCAGCTTCCGGGAGGTGAGCCCTGCCCCCAGCCCCAGTCCCCATCGGGGGCTACACCTGAGGACTCGTGGCCACGGAGAGACTCGCCCCCCTTTGTCATTGAATGACACTGTCATTGAACAGCCAGCCGTGACTGGCTGGTGGCTGGCCGAGCGAGGCTGCAGAGGGCCTCGTAGGCTCTGGGGCACACGGAAGGGCCCCAAGGGTCCTGGGGCACAGAGGGGCAGGCACCAAAGAGGGAACTAACACAGTGCTGTGTTTTGGGGAAAGAGGGGTGGCAGGCACGGTGCTGGTGACTTCAGGCTCAAGATGTCACTCTGACAGGAGCTGTGCACAGGCCTATTCTGCAGGGAGGAAGAGGAGGCTGAAGGCCCCACGGCAGCACGGGCTCTAGCGGGCCCTGGGAGAGCGAGTAGGAAGGGGGCAGGGAAGGAGAGAGGCGGCAGGGCCGGTGGAAGGACGAGAGGCTGGGAGTGGGGGTGGGCAGTGCAGGGTAACAGTTTGGAGTCAGAGGACACAGGTTCAAGTCCTTCTGGTACTTTCTGGCTCCAAGGCTTTGGGCAAGTCCTCTGCTGCCCCTGAGCCTTCCTCGTTCTGCAAAACAGACTCAGTCCTAGTAGGTTTAGGACTCAATAAATGGAGCTCGGAGCAGATGTGGGAGCCGTGGGAGAGAAGGGAAAGCGGTAGGTAGGTTGCAGCTGTGTGGCGGGAGCCGGGTGTGGAAGGAGCAGGCCCACCGTGTCCCAGGATCCTGGGCAGGCAGGAGCTGAGTCACCCGACCTCCCGCTCCACAGATGGGCAAGCCGAGGCCCCGAGAGGGAGACCAGCTCTCTGGCTCCGTCCCTTTCTCCAGGGGTGTGGCCTGAGGCTGGGCCCGGCTGTGGCCAGGGACTTGGGCTCCCCGCCCCCACCCCGCCCTCACCCGCGTGCCTCTGCCCTGCAGTTCCTCCTGATCTTCCGCAAGGCCGCGGCCGGGGAGCTGCAGGAGGACAGCGGGCTCTGCGTGCTGGCCCGGCTCTCCGAGATCGACGTCTCCACCGAGGGCGTCAAGGGGGCCAAGAGCTTCTTCGAGGCCAAGGTGAGGAGCCCGAGGGCTGCCCTGACCCCAGCTGGAGGACAGGGTCCCCTGGGTGGGCTCGAGGGTTAACACGTGCCCTTCCTGGCCCTGCCGAGGCTGCAGTCGGATGGGAGTCGATACCTGCTGGGCTGGGCTTGGCCGGCAGCACCCCTGGCCTCTGTCCCCTCCGTTCCAGGCTGTGATCCTTCCCAGCCCCCCTCCCTTTCTCACCTGCCCGAGGGGTAGGCGAGGGGTGTGTGCTCTTGAAGAGGGGACCAGGACATCTTGACACACCGAGGACTGGCCCTAAGGAAGGGAGGGCCGAGAGAGAGCAGCGCAGGCCCCGAAACGGCACGGGCTCCCCAGGGGCCCTTAGAGACGCTGTCCCTGCCAGCCCCAGCCTGGGGGACGCATGGGGGGCGCAGAAGCCACCTGCATGCACGACACCTCCCCTGTCAGCACATGCTCAGGTGGATGGGACAAGTATGGCCTAGTGGCTCCTGGGTCCTGCCTACCCAGGGCCCCGGGCACCCGCCTTTCCTCGTTTCTCCCTCTTTCCATGTTGAGCTAAGAATATTCCCTCCAGAGGCCGCTTCTGCCTCCCTCCAGCCTGCCAAGCGCTGATGGACATGGCAGGGCTCCCCGGTGGAATGGGGCATGCGGCCGGGCTCCCCGGTGGGAAACAGGCTACCGTGGCAGCGGCAGCAGGAGCCGCACTCACAGGACGCCGGTCTGCCGGGCCACCGACTGTGCGTCACCTCCTCGCCAGAGAGGAGTCCTGAGGCCGGGCATTGGGCGCCAGGTTCTAGGCGGAGACGCTGAGCCCCCGAGAAGGGACGAAGTGGCCGGCCAGCCCGGGCCTGGAGGACCCCAGAGAGAGCAGCCTTAGCACAGAGCCCCCGGTCAGCCCTGACCCCCACCCCCCGGCCCCCGCAGGTCCAGGCCATCAACGAGTCCAGCCGCTTCGAGGAGGAGATCAAGGCGGAGCAGGAGGAGAGGAAGAAGCAGGCGGAGGAGCTGAAGCAGCGGAAGGCCGCCTTCAAGGAGCTGCAGTCCACCTTCAAGTAGCGGCGCGTGGGCGTCTGCCTCGGTGGCCCGCTGGAGGGTGGCGGGCGCACGGGGCGGGGAGGGGGCCCAGCCCGCGTCCTCGCCCGTCTCGCAGGACCACTACTGAAAACCTAAACGTCCTGTGAGCGGGACCAGCTGAGGGGTCTCCCAGAGGTGGCCGGGCTGCTCCCCGCTCCCCCCACTGTCCCTGGGCCGCGACACCAGCGCCGGCTCCCTGCCTGGCCCTCCCCGGCAACCCCCGCGGCTCCTGCGCACCAGCTGCCCCGCTGCCTGCTCCCGCCTGCCCTCCACGCACCCTCCGCGCCCAGGGCCCCCTGCCCTCAGCCAGCGGCGGCGCTGCCACCAGGCCCTCAGAGATGGAAAGAGTCGTGGCCACCCCGTGGGGCGGGACACCAGGGGCCCCAGCCTAGGACCCTTTTTTCCTGCCTCTGCCTCCTCCATCCGCTAGAATGGGGGGCTGTTTTGGTGAAGGGACCACCCCATGCTGACATGAAGACCCCAGGTCGCTGGGGCCCCGCCGGGCAAGGTGCGGGCAGCTGTGCCGATCTACCTCACGGGCCCCCCCTCTGCTGGCGTGCCATGGGAGCAGGGGCAAGGAACGCTGGGGGTGGGTGGCAGAGACACCTTCCCTGGCACCACCCCCCGCCCCAGAACACCCTGAGGGTCGCAGGGGGCCCTGGAGAGAGTAGGTGGGAGGAGGACTCGGGAAGGAAACCAGCGCTTCGTGTTGACTGTCCTGGAAGTGCCCGAGACGTGCTTTGAGCGAGTTTGCATGCTCCAGGCAGCGGCGGGGCCCTGCTCAGCCCTCGACACCTGCCTTCCCCAAGCCACGTCCACTGCCGTGTCACCAGCGACGGGACCTGCCTGGCATGCCCACCCGAGGTGGCCCGGAGACCCCAGCCCCCCGTGCCACCGGCCCGGTTCTGCCGCAGCGCCCCGTGTGCTTGCTCACGTGTGTGTGTCTGTTGCCGTGTCGTGAAGCCGTGACCGTCACCCAGTCCAAACAAGTGCACGGCCCTCGAGGCCACAGTTATGCAACTTTCAGTGTGTGTCATAACAGCGTCACTGCTTTCTAGATTCAATAACTCTTTATTTTAGTAAAATGCCCCAGGAGTCCGTGGAGCTCTGTTGGACTTGCAGGGGTTTTATTTTTTTGGCCTTAGAATCTGCAGAATCGAGGAGGGACTGAGCCCGGCGCAGCCTCGGACCCAGGTTGCGTTTGCCTTAGCAGATATGTTTATACAGATGGATATAAAGTTTTCTTTTCCTTTTGGCTTTTTGCTTTTTATTCTTTTCTTTCCTTCTCACCCAAAAAAAGCTACTTCTTCATTCGGTGGTACGATTATTTTTTTTAACTAAAATAAGATAAAATTCTATATTCCTATGTGTGTGTGGTTCTTGATGGTTAGTGGGGCAGGAGAGGGACTGGGCAAGGAGGGGACGGGGACAGGGCCATCTGGGTGCCTGGGACAGTCACGTCAGAGCCTGGGAGAAGCGCAGGGACCATTACCAATGGGAGAGGCAGGCTTTTGATGCCCACAAGCTGTCGCCAGGCTCGGTCAGTCTTAGTGTTTTGCTAGGATTAGTCATTTAAGGCCAGGCGTGGTGGTTCACGCCTGTAATCCTAGCACTCTGGGAGGCCCAGGTGGGAGAGTTGCTCGAGGTTGGGAGTTCAAGACCAGCCTGAGCAACAGCGAGACCCCCGTCTCTACTAAAAAAAATAGAAAGAAATTATCAGAACAACTAAAATTATACAGAAAAAATTAGCTGGGCATGGTTGTAGTCCCAGCTACTTGGGAAGCTGAGGCAGGAGGATCGCTTGAGCCCAGGAGTCTGAGGTTGCTGTGAGCTAGGCTGATGCCACGGCACTCTAGCCCAGGCAACAGAGTGAGACTCTGTCTCCAAAGAATAAATAAATCCTCACGGTGAGCTTATGGGGGGCATTTTTATTCCTCTTTTTTAGACGGGAGCGGGGAAGCCCGGAGGCCTCCCGGAGGCCCACAGGTGCGTAGGGCGGCAGGATCTGGGCCGGGCTGCGAGTTCACAGCCGTGGCCTAACCCTCCGCCAGCCCTGCCTCGAGAGCAGAGAAGAGGCCACGGCACACAACACGGGGGCCGGAAGTGGCATTAAGGCCTCGGGGATTCTGGCTTGCTGCACCCTATAGCCCCCTGTTAGGCACAGAGACACCCAAAGTCTTGAGCAGGCCGGGAAAACTCCCAGGAGTTGGGGGGGATGGGCACCAGCAGCTGCCTGTGTGGCTTTGGACAGATCCTCCACTGGGGCTCAGTCTCCCCATCTGCTCAGTGCAAGGGTGGGCTAGGGTCTGGGGTCTCCCCAGCCCAGTGGTTCCAGGTCGGGTTCCCTCTTGGGGAGCTGGGGTTTGGGATTGGGCTGCGCACGGCTGCCCCCGGGTGGCCATGGATGGTACTACAGCAGCCGGGGCTCCCTGGCAGGCCCTGCCCAGGGAGGGCAGCGTCCTGGACTTGGTTTCCTGGGACACGCCACCCCTACACGCTACCGGGTGCCTGAGACCCTGCCAACACTGTCAGCGCAAGAGTTAAGCGCTGCCTTCCAGCACCTCTCCCACAAGGGAAGAACATCAGAATCCATAACACCCGCCCGGAAGGGGTCTCAGGAACAAGGCATGGAGGGAGCTGGAAGGCAGGGGCTTCAGTTCGGGCTCCAGAGCTCAGCCCCGCTGGCCTGGTGACAGACATGGGCCTCAAGTCCTCGGAACATGAGACAGGGGCCCGCTGCCCCAAGCCAGGGCCCTCAGCCTCGGCCTGCACACGACTCTGTGCCCAGCCTGGTGGAGGAAGCAGGGGGAAGAAGGAAGAGGCCCAGGGTGATCCAGGGACCGAGAGAGATGGTTCCTTAAAACCCTCCCGGCCCCGTCACCAGACACCCCACCCCCACTGAACCCCCAGCCCTTGCTGAACCTGTAACCCCTCACTGAGCACCAACCCCCTGCCGGGCCCCCCAACCCTCTCTAAACCCCTGTACTTCCATCTGGCTTTGAGGAGAAACCTGCCAGCACCTCGGGCCTCACCCAGGACATGACAGCTGCCACCTGAGAGTCCCGTCCCAGCGGCTAGGAGACTTGGGCCCCAGTCGCTAGCACCTGCCTCTTTTCGCAGGCTCTCATCCCATCCCCGCCCTCCCCGCCTGGCATTGCTCCTGAGGCCCCAGGGCACCATCTGACCATGTCACCACCCCCTGGCCCCGCCTCCACTGAGTCACCTGTGGTTATTTTTCCATTTTCTGGTACAGTCTGATCCCGAGTGGCTCAGGGACTCTGAGGTCACAGGTTCTGGAATGAACCTGTCACTCCAGGCCCTGAAAATCCCAGCGTTCAGCAGCATGGAGGTGGGGAGTCTAGTGCCCTCACATCTTCAAGCCCTTGAATTTATTTTGGACGTGGAATCTGTAGAGAAGGACTCTTTTCCCAGCCTGCACCCCATCAAACTCCCACCCAGAACGAATCTCCTCTCACGCAGAGCTCCCAGCCTTTGGCCCATCTCACCAACGAACACTTATCGCCCTGGCCAGCAGGGAGCTCCCCCCGTGCTGAACGGGGTCTTACCATGTCTGTACACCCAGCCCCAGCACAGGGCCTGCTCGCAGTATGTGCTCAGCGATCGTGGGAGGAACGCATGAATGACCAGATGTTTTCTGTGTATATAGTGTGGCGGTGCCTCACAGTCTGGGCAAACAAAAGTCATATCTTCAACCACTTCCGTACGGTGCTCACCAGCCTCGAACCCTTGCCCACAGCCGGCACTCACAGTCCGCACGGTAGTCTGCGCTGTGCATTGACGACGAGCCCTTTTTGCTCTTGTGTGATGAGAAAGCTTGAAAGCACCGAAAGCTTGTTTTACTTTACAGGCAGCTTTCCTTGTAATGTAAGTCAGAATAGGTGACACATACATACATGTTTTCATTACGTTATTTTTAAATGTTCACAATTTTATTTTGATAGATGAAAAATTAGAAAAGTCACATCACGGCTGTCGGCTAAAGTCGCTGTGCGCGTTCATCTGTGGCTGTCCCCATAAGTGAGACCGCTCGTACCGCGAGTGGTTAAACACGCAAGTTAATCCAACGCCAAGGCCCACCCTTGCGATCGCAGGACACTGCTCTCCTCGGGCTTCCCCTGCAGGTGCCCATAGGCCACGTGGGCTGCTGCCTGCGGTCTTGGTTTGCTTGGCCAGAAGATCAGGCAGCCAACCCAGTGTCACACAGTAACTCAGGCAGTCTGGGCCACCGGGGTAATGGCATCCTCTGACGGCCGGCCTGCACGGGGGCTGGCCGGGCCGTGCAAAAGCTGGAGCGGTCCGCCCTGCCCTCCGTTTCCCAGCGAGAGCAGCTTTCTCTCGGCCGCCCAGGGCACAGCCCAGGCGGCTCTGGGACCAAGGGCAGGTGCTCAGGATGATCCGCAGAACATTCTGGAACTCTGGCTCTGCACTTCATATAAAAGCTCACGTGAGCAGGGGCCACAGTCAGGGCCCACGCACCCAACGGGGACAGTGGGCACAGTGCCAGGAGCCCAGGGTTCCTTTAGGGGCCTACAAAAATGTGTTCATTTCATCAAAATCAACAGGAAAAAAATGACTAGAATCCAAACCGGATTACATTCACCTTTGTGCCCGCACAGCCACAAAACATAGTTTTAGTACTTTTTGATGGAGGAAGGGGCCCGTGAAGGCAAATGTGCCCCACGACCAGGTCAGTCTCAAGCCACTGAACTTGACATTCAAGTCGCAGACTCTCAGGACTGAAAGGAACCTGAGAGTCCGTCTGGTCTTGTCCGCCCATTTTAGAGGTAGGTAGACTGAGGGGCCGACAAGTAAGCTGGCTCCAGGAAGAAACCTGGCCAACCAAGCCCCTGCCGCTGAGCCTGGGCCATCCGCAGCCCGGGAGCAGGTGCAGGAGAGCGCAGCCAACGTCGGGTTAAGGAGGGAGAAAGGAAAAGGCAGGAAGCCACCTAACAGCACTGCAAAGACAGAGGAAACCGCGTGTCTTAGCAGTTTGAAGCCCCCGCTGGTGTTAGAAGCACCCCCTTCAAAGCCCGGCTCTGTTGCCACCCAGCTGTGTGACCCTGAATGGTCACTTAGTCTCAGCGGCCTCATGTTTAAAGAGGATAATAGCATCTACTTCGCGTTGTTGGAAGAGTTGGGTAAGATAATGCAAGAACTACTGAGCACAGTGCCGGCCACATGGTAGGTACCCAATAAATAACTAGAAAGAATAAGGTAGGGAGAGAGAATGAGAGCACACTATAAGCAAAGTGGGAGGGGGAGTTGCCAAAAAACATTCCGCAGCTCAGAAATTGCTGTCGCAGGATATTTGGGAAGTCCGCGCTTCTGAGCTAGCCCCATCTCTCGTCCAAATTAAACATAACCACCCAAGGTCGGGAAAGAGCCTTATCAGAACAGGTTTCTCTCCAAGGGGGTGCCTAGCCTTGACCAGGGTTCACCCCCCTCCTGCCTATAAGTGCACCCCAGCCCGCACTGCCGGCCAGTCGGCCCTGAGCACCCGCACCATGTTGGGCATCACCGTCCTCACCGCGCTCCTGGCCTTCGGTAAGCGATGGGGTGGCCTCTGGGGACAAGGACAGGACCAGGCGGTCCTCCGCTCTCCAGGAAAGGCTCTCCGGGGCCCACCGTGGGTTCAGATGCTACTGACCAGCTGTCTGTCAGACCAGCCTCTTCCCGCTTGGCAATTCTGCTCCACGGCTGCAAAATAGGGACAGTGACCTGCCCTGCGCTGGTCGGGTCACAGGTCAGGGGATTAGCGGCGGGGTGTGGAAAGCACCGAGCAAGGGGCAGGGACACAGCATACGCCCCGTCCTGGGTTCACTCCAGGGACTTCGGGCCTGCCTTTCCCACAAGCAGCTCTTCCCCGGGGAAGCTCTGCTCCCTCTTGAGGTTTGGTGGCACTCTCCCATATTAGGAGCCAAGGGACTTGGCTTGAATGCCACCCACTCTCTCTCTGCAGGACCTGAACAAGTCACTTCACCTTTCTAAATCTCATTGGCTTTTTTGGCAAATGAGAGCACTTGGTTAAGAGTCCTTCCAGCTAACAACAACAACAACAATAATAATAGCGACTCTCCCTAGCTCTCTGGGAGGCCGAGGCGGGCGGATCATTTGAGCTCAGGAGTTCGAAACCAGCCTGAGCAAGAGCGAAACCCCGTCTCTACTATAAATAGAAAGAAATTAATTGGCCAACTAATATATATAGAAAAAATTAGCCGGGCATGGTGGCGCATGCCTGTAGTCCCAGCTACTTGGGTGGCTGAGGCAGCAGGATTGCTTGAGCCCAGGAGTTTGAGGTTGCTGTGAGCTAGGCTGACACCACGGCACTCACTCTAGCCTGGGCAACAGAGTGAGACTCTGTCTCAAAAAATAATAATAGCGACTCCTGTTTATTGCATGTTTATTATGTGCCAGGCACTGTGTGCTAAGCCCTTGTTCTGCAAGAGTTAATCCTCAAAACACCTTGAGAGGTAGGATCTATTAATACGCCCATTTTACAGATGAGGACACTGAGGTTCAGTGAGGCTCAGTGTCTTGCCCAATGTCACATGGCTAGTTAGTGGTACAGGACAGGCTGGTGACCACTCCACAACGACAATCTGGCACTCTGTGGATTTAATGTGCACACACACACACACACACACACACTGCCATCATACAGTGGCCTAAACAGGGACAGAAGAGCAGGAGGGACACAGGCATGCCCGGGCACTCACACACATGCCAGCCTTCATTTCAGTTCCCTCAGTGTGTTAAGCGCCATCTCTGTGCTGGGCCTTTTGCTAAACTCTTTATGCAAGTTGTCTAATTTAGCTCTCAGGACGAACTCACCAGGTTGGTGCTATTCTTCCCATTTCACAGAAAGGGAAGCTGAGGCTCAGAGAACTAGGTGGCGTCCCAAAGTCACGTGGTCAAATATGAACCTGTGTCCACCTGCCCCAACATCTGTGCTCTTTTCACCTGCCCTCCTCCCCCGGTGGGGAGGCCAGCCCCACTCACCTGCCCTCCTCCCCGTCTGCCTCCCCAGCCTCCAGCTGCGGGGTCCCCAGCATCCAGCCCAACCTAACGGCCCGGGTGGTGGGAGGAGACAGTGCCGAGCCCCACAGCTGGCCCTGGCAGGTAAGCATGCTGCAGGGACGGAGAAGGAGAGGGTGCGGGGAGGGGCCCTGGGGACCTGTGGGCTGACACGGCGCCCCTCCCCCCCCTGCAGATCTCCCTCCAGTACCTCAAGGACGGCACATGGAGGCACACATGCGGTGGCACCTTGATCGCCAGCAACTTCGTCCTCACTGCTGCCCACTGCATCAAGTGAGCAGGGACGGTGCCCCAGGGGCCTGCAGTCACCCCGGGGCGGGGGCCTGACTCGCTGCTCTCACTGAGCACCAACTGCACACCCCAGTGCCAGGTGTGGGGCCAAGCAAGCTCCACCCCGTAACTCAGTTGTTCGTTTAGTCAGTCAACAAGTGTTTCATGAGCACCTACTAAGTGCCAGGAAACACAGCAGCAAAGACAGAGTCTGTGCCCTCAGGGAGCCCATATTCCAGCTCAAGGCAGAGCAACAGACAATTCAACAACAAATACATAACGGACTGGGTGGTAATGAAGAAAAATAAGGTCAGAAGGTGACAAAAAGAGCAAGGGGGCTCTATTTTAAATGGGCTGGCCAGGGGACCTCTCGGAAAGGACACACTTGAGCACAGATCCGAAGGAAGTGAGGGAGGAAGGCACGGGTCTGGGGGAAGGGTGTTCCGGGGAGGGAACAGTCCGCTCAGAGGTCTGGAGGAAGGACCCTGTGGTGCGGGTGGGAAATGACAAGGAAGCGGTGTGGCAGGACAGGGTGTGCCAGGGGAGGGCGGGAGGGCGTGCATTACAAGGGGGACAGGTGCCCGATCACGCAGGGCGGTGTGAGGACTTTGGCCTCGACCCTGAGTGAGACAGAGCTGTCGGGAAGGGTTTCGAGCAAAAGAGGGTCGCAGGCCGACTTACATTTGCAAAGACTCACACTGCCGGGTTCAGAACAGACAAGGAGGGAGGCCAGAGTGGAAGCAGGGGGCAGGTAGGTGGCTGTCGCCATAACGCAGGCAAGAGGCGGCGGGAACTTGGCTTCGTTTATTCTCACAGCAGCCCTGGGAGGTAAGTTCCATATCAGCTCCACTTCACAGATGGGGCAACTGAGGCACAGGCTTCCCGGCTAGTAGAGGGGAGACTACAGCATGAACCCAAGGCCCTTGACTCCCAGTCCCGGGTCCTTTCCCTGCACCCTGGGAAGGGACAGTGGGGACAGACGCGCCCTTCCTCCCCCCCAAAGGAGTCCCATAGTGGCCACAGGGCTGGGTCACCGAAGCCCCGAGTTCCCTCCCCATCTACCCCACTGGCTGGTGGGGGCAGGGGCCACCCTGACCCGGCCCCTCCCTCTGCCCAGCAACGCCCTGACCTACCGCGTGGGCCTGGGCAAGAACAACCTGGCGGTGGAGGACGAGCCAGGCTCCCTGTTCGTGGCTGTCGACACCATCCACGTCCACGAGAAGTGGAACTCCTTCCTGGTGCGGTGAGTGCCCTGCTGACCAGCTCACGGCCCCGGGGACAGCGCAGAAGGAGGGGCCCCGCGGCGGAGCTGCGCAGCCTGCCCCCCGCACCCGGCCCCCGCCCCCACCCGAGCAGCCCACGGATGACTCTGTTGCACAGAATGGAAAATGCTGAGCAGGGAGGACACCCCTCCCGTCCCCCTCACTGGCCAAGGGTCTCTGAAGGTACACGAGGAGTGAGACCCCTGAGCCCCCCACAGTGTCTTTCCAGAGGGTGAACAGGACCCGCCTTTACCGAGCGCCTACTGTATGCACACGCTGCAATAGGCGCTGTATATGCCCTCCCTTATTTAATCCTCACAACAGCCCCGGACAAAGAACCAAGACTCAGAGAGGTTGAGGCGTTCGGCCCAGGTCACACGGCCCAGTGCTGCCCTGTCTAAGGTTGCCAGCTCAGCTCTCATCCTTGTAACATGAAAATATTGAAAATGGCATCTGCAAGTGCCGCTCTTTTATCATTGTAATTTCCCATTTGCTGCGGCTTGGCTTCGTTTCCGATCTGTCCTGGGGTCCCCTGTTAACCCTTTCCCCACTCGTTTCCCGATCTGTCCTGGGGTCCCCGGTTAACCCTTTCCCCACTCGGCGACACATGCAGAGAAGCACCACGGCCCAACAGGGCGGGCGATCGTGCCAGACGGGGAATCATTCCTGCTCTGACATCCCGAAAGGCCAGGGAGAAGCTGGTGGTCGGGATGTCTATGGAGGAGCCCTGGCCACCCCCCCCGCCCGAACCCCAACCCAAAACCCCAACCCGCGGGCCTCCCGCCCACTCACCCTCTCCTCCCCGGATTCCAGCAACGACATTGCCCTCATCAAGTTGGCAGAGCATGTGGAGATGAGTGACACCATCCAGGTGGCCTGCCTGCCGGAGGAGGGCTCCCTGCTGCCTCAGGATTACCCCTGCTACGTCACCGGCTGGGGCCGCCTCTGGAGTGAGTACACCCCTGGCAAATCCCAAGAGCCTTCCTGGAGGAGGCGGCACGAGCTGCCTACCTTTGCCCACCGCTGCTCATTTTTGCCTAAACATGTTCACATCGTTTTAAACTTTGTAATAATAACAGCTAATATTTATCAAGCACATACCATGTGACGGACACTCTAACAAGCACATAGGAGGGGTGTTGTAAGGATTAAACGGGTTAGAATTTGTCTGGCCGGGCGCGGTGGCTTGTGCCTGTGATCCCAGCGCTTTGGGAGACTGATGGGAGGGTCGCTTGAGCCCAGGAGTGTGAGGTTGCTGTGAGCTGTGATGACGCCACGGAACTGTAGCCCGGGTGACAGAGCGAGACCCTGTCTCAAAAAAGAAAAGAGTTTGTCAAGTGCATAGATTAGGGCTTGGCACAGAGCGAATGTCTATAAATAAGCTAAGATGAGCTTATCTGGGGTGGGGCTGAGAGCCTATGGCATGCCATACGCCCGAATAGGTCCCCGCTGAATTAAAAGTTAAATGGGGCCGGGCGCGGTGGCTCACGCCTGTAATGCTAGCACTCTGGGAGGCCGAGGCGGGCGGATCGCTCAAGGTCATGAGTTCGAAACCAGCCTGAGCTGGTTTCGAACTCAACCTGAGCAAGACCAACCTGAGCAAGACCCCGTCTCTACTAAAAAATTAGAAAGACATGAATTGTCCAACTAAAAATATACAGAAAAAATTAGCCGGGCATGGTGGCGCATGCCTGTAGTCCCAGCTACTCGGGAGGCTGAGGCAGGAGGACTGCTTGAGCCCAGGAGTTTGAGGTTGCTGTGAACTAGGCTGACGCCACGGCACTCACTCTAGCCTGGGCCACAGAGTGAGACTCTGTCTCAAAAATAAATAAATCAATAAAAATTAAAAAAAAAAATAAAAGTTAAATGGAAATCAATGAAACTACAGGAGACATAGAGGAAAATGAAAATGCTGCTCAATAGTTAGAAAATCTCAGGCAAAAAAGACCTTTTAACGTGTGCCACCAAAGGCGGGGACCTACAGGAAAAGAGAGTGACAATCTTTTCCTGTAGGTCCAATCTAAAGACAACTTGCTCAGTTAGTCCTTGCGGGCTGCGCATGGGTGAGCCCTGCCTCCGCCCGCTCCCCGCCCCACCCGCGGAGGGCTGGCGGCATGGTGTCACAGCTCCCGTCCTGAGGGCCTGGGGCAGGGCAGACGGGGGGGCGGGCCTCCCCGCTCACCACCCTGTCCCTCTCCCCAGCCAACGGCCCCATCTCCGACGAGCTGCAGCAGGGCCTGCAGCCCGTGGTGGATCACGCCACGTGCACCCAGAGGGACTGGTGGGGCTCCATGGTGAAGGACACCATGGTGTGCGCCGGGGGCGATGGCGTCATCTCCGCCTGCAATGTGAGTGGCCAGGCCCTACGCCCTGTCCCTGCGAGGAGACCCAGCCCTGGCTGGGCCCAGCAGGCTTATGGGGAACCCGTCACCTTGACCCCCACCCCGTCCCCCACTGTGGTGAGAGCTGCACGTGAGTATCTGAGTTCAAGTCCCAGTCCCGCCTCTTACTAGCTCTTTAACCTTGGGAAGGCTGTCGAACCTCTCCGCGCCTCAGTCTTCCCATCTATAAAATGGAGCTATAGTAACCACTTCATAGGGTTGCTGTGAGGACTAAGTGAGTCTAAAGGACATAGAAGAGGCTTCACTGGCGTCTCTACCCCTGTTCCTTCATGCCACGAGCTCCACCAGTCTAGGGAGACAGGGAACTTAGGGAGTCTGACACGGAACCATGAAACAGGGACTGTCCCCGTTTGCAAACACAGGACCCTCTCGCCACTCGCACCCTCCTTCCCCACTCCTCCAACACGGCTCCCAGCATCCTCGCTTCTCTGGACAGCTCACGGGGTCTTAGACATGGTACTGACGCACAGAGAGGGTTAGCACCATCCCAAGATCACACAGCAAGCCACGAGCTAGTCCAACCGCCCCAGGGCCTCCCAGAAGGAGGCCAAGGCAGCCCCAAACCACATTCCGTTGGCCAAACGAGGCCCACACAGGGGCTACCGAGGCTGAGAAGCCAGCCCACACCCCCGCCCCACCCCGCCCCTGCTTCCCGTCCCTCTGGGGCAGGCCTGGTGGCTGATGCCCCGCTGGCCTGGCGCAGGGGGACTCGGGCGGCCCGCTGAACCGCCAGGCTGAGAACGGCTCCTGGGAGGTGGTCGGCATCGTGAGCTTCGGCTCAGGGCTGGGCTGCAACACCCTCAAGAAGCCCACGGTCTTCACGCGGGTGTCCGTCTACATCGACTGGATCAACCAGGTGGGCGCCGCCCCGCGCCCCTCGCTGCGCTGTCAGCCCCGCCTCCCCGTGCCCTGGGGACGGTAAGTTCCATATCAGCTCCACTTCACAGATGGGGCAAATGAGGGAAGGCTCGCTAGACGAGGGAGACGTCGCATGAACCCCAAGGGGCCCTTTGGACTCCAGTCCGGGTCCTTTCCCTGCACCAGCTGGGGAAAGGTGACAGTGGGGCAGACGCGGCCCTTCTCGCCCCCCCAAAGGGAGTCCCATAGTTGGCACAGGGCTGGTCGACGAAGCCCCGAGTTCCCTCCCATCTACCCCACTGCTGGGTGGGGGGGAGGCGCCCCCGTGACCGGGCCCTTCCTCTGCACAGCAACGCCCTGACCTACCGCGTGGCCTGGCAAGAACAAGGCCTGTCCGGTGGGAGACAGGCCGAGGGGCTCGGTTGTTCGGTGGCTGCGAACCATCACGTACCACGACGTGGAACCTTCCTGGTGCGGTGTGAGTGCCGGTGACCAGCTCACGGCCCGGCAGCGGCAGAAGGAGGGGCCCCGGCGGCGAGCTGCGGCAGCCTGCCCCGCACGCCGGCCCGCCCCCACGAGCGGCCCGCGCGGATGACTTGTTGCCACAGAATGAATGCGAGAGGGGGAGGACACCCCTCCGTCCCCTCAGCTGGCAAGGGGTCATCTGAATGGTACACGGAGAGGGTGAGACCCTGAGCCCCCCGCCACAGGTGGGGTCTTTCCAGAGGCGTGAACAGGGACCGCCTTTACCGAGCGTCCTACTGTGATGCACGTGCCAATAGCACTGTATAGGCCCTCCCTTATTTAATCCTCACAACAGGCCCGGCAGAGAACAAGACTCGAGAGGTTGAGGCTGTTCGGCCAGGCTCACAGGGGCCCAGTGCTGGCCTGTCTAAGTTGCGCAGCTCTCTTGCATCTTGTAACATGAAACATTAAAATGGTCATCTGCAAGTCCCGCTTCTTTATCATTGTAAATCTCCATTTGCTGCGGGCTTGGCTTGTTTCCGATCTGTGCCTGGGTCCCCTCCGTTAACCTTTCCCCACTCGGCGGGCACATGCAGAGAAGCACCCGGCCAAGCAGGGCGCGCGCGGATCGTGGCCAGGCGGGAGAATCATTCCTGCCTCTGACATCCTCGAAAGGGCCAGGGGAGAGCTTGTGGTCGGATTCTTGGGAGGAGCCTGGGCACCCTCTCGGCCTGACGCCAGCTCACAAGGCCCGGGAGCCCTCGGGCCTCCGCCCACTCACCTTCTCCCCGGATTCCAACGCAACGACATGCCCCATCAAGGCTGGCGAGCATGGTGGAGATGGAGTGACACATCAGGGTGGCCTGCCTTGCGGAGGAGGGGCTCCCTGCTGCCTCAGGATTTCACCCTGCTACGTCACCGGCTGGGCCGCCCTCTGGGAGGCTGAGTACGACCTGGCAATCCCAAGAGCCTTCCTGGGAGGGATGGCCGCACGGAGCCTGCGCTACTTTGCCACCGGTGTCTTTTTGCCTAACATGTTCACATCGTTTAACTTGTGTTACATAATAAACATATTTACAAGCACATACCATGTGACGACACTCTACAAGCACATAGCGGAGGGGTGTGTAAGGTTAACGGGAGTAGAATTGTGCTGGCCGGGCGCGTGGCTTGTGCCTGGTGATCCCAGTTTGGGAGACTGGCATGGGAGGGTCGCTTGAGCCAGGGAGTGTGAGTTGCTGTGAGCTGTGGATGACGACACGGAATGTAGCCCGGGTGACAGAGCGAGGACCCTGATCTCAAAAATAAAAGATGTTTGTCAAGGTGCATAGTAGATTAGGGCTTGGCACAGAGGAGATGTCTATAAATTAAGCTAAGATGGAGCTTATGCTGGGGTGGGGGTGAGGAGCCTTTGCAATGCCATACGCCGAAATAGGTCCGCCGTGAATAAAAGTTATGGCCGGGCGCAGTGGCTCACGCCTGTAATGCTAGCACTCTGGGGGCGAGGCGAGGTGGGCGGAAATTCGCTCAAGGTCGAATGAGTTCGAACCAGCTTGAGCAAGACCCCCCGTCTCTCTAAATTGAAAGGACATGATTGTCCAACTAAAATACTACAGGAAAAAACTTAGGCGGGCAGATGGGGTGGTGCTATGGCTGTAGTCCCAGTTCGGGGAGGCTGCGGCAGGAGGACTGCTTGAGCAGGAGTTTGAGTGCTTGGAGCAGGGTGAGCACGGCACTCACTCTAGGCCTGGGGCACAGGAGTGAGACTCTGTTCAAAAGAAAAAAAAATTAAAAAAAAGTTAAATGGAATCAATGAAACTACAGGGAGACTTTAGGGAAATGAAATGCTGCTCAATTAGTTAGAAGAATCTCAGCAAAAGCTTTTAACGTGTCACCAAAGGCATGGACCTACAGGAAAAGATGTTGACATCACCCCAGAG